TCCCATATGTCCAGCAAAGGCGCGACGACGGCAAATCGCAAGCAACGCTATTAATTGAGGCGCGGCTCTTCTGCGCGTGGCCGGACCGTGGTCGCAAGAAGAGGTGCGGGACGCAACCTTCGCAGGGAGCCCCGGCCCCCCACAGTTCGGGCCCCTCCTCGGCGGAGAGAAAGGGCGTCGGGAAGGAAGAGCGCGCCGTGCGCGGAAAACGATTGGGACGCATCGACTCTTCGAGACCGCGCCGTTAACGTTTCCGTGAAGGCAACGGAGCCACGGTGACCGGGGAATCGCAAAGCGCCCAACGACGACTACTTCTCCGCTGAGTCGCCTAGAGGCGATTGTCGATGTGCAACGTTTGGGTTTTCATTGCGAGAGCAAACGTGAGCTCGCCACTCAGCGCGTGTCGCGCCAAAGTTGTCGCCAGGGCACCGCCAATGCCAGCCGGGGGCGCGCGGCGTGGGGGGCCGGGCCCGCCTCCACGAAGTTTGCTCGGCGCTGCCAGCGGCTAGCCCAAGAGGTGGCAAGCCACAGCTTTCGTTCTGTGTGGCTGCGTGACAGAGTGTATATTTGCGCCATATACCGCCCTACTTCCGTTATCATCAAAGTCTTTTTTTTTTCTTGGCTCCCCCACTTGGTGGGAAGGGGCATTTTCTAGGCAAGTGGCTGGCGTGGGGGTAAGCAAAATAATTCAAATAGCTCGGAGGGAAAGAAAACAAAAGCAAAACACTATCACCCACACTGCAAAGGAGGATTACGTAGACTGCAAAAGGGCCAGTTCCAAGCATCAAAAAGGGCAAATTTTTCTGATGCTCAGTCAGAAACGTGCAGAAAAAAAAGAAAAAAATGGGGGTGGTTGGGAGGGGAAACACTAAACCGACACAGATAAGGAGTAAAAGCTGTATAATAAAGAATAAGCGTAACGGTGGTGTCAGCAATAAGGGTATTAATGATAGTACTCAATGCAATAGTAGGCGTAAGAATAATAGCAACAATCTTGTTCTTTCGTTCGTTCTCAGAAGTGTGCTAACAACGTCCAATAAAACAAGCCACACTCATTTTTTATCATTCTAGAATTTGAACCTCAGTGATCTAAGATGATACAAACCAACGATGAACAAATGAAGCTACAGTCTTCAGAGAAACAAAGGCATCAGAGCATACGCAATGAAAGGGAAAAAAGCTATTAGCACCTCCAGGTATGCCTTCAGATAAATACGGAACAAGGACAATAAAAAAGAAGAAGAGTAAAAAAGAAGGAGACAAAAAAAACTACAGCTAGGGAAAGGAATCATATTCTTCAATTCCTTCTTGATATCTCCATCGTTTTAGAGGGCACACCGGAGGGTTGTTTGAAACCACGCTTTCCAGATGCCTCGGTATCCAAAAAATAGGAATCTTTTGCCTTGTCTTGTTTTTCTTCATCATGAACCTCACTACTAAAATCGTCAGGGTTTGCTGCGAGGAGTTTTCGCTGCTTGTTCCTCGTGAGCGCCAAAACATGTTTCATTGGTATGTGACTCTTCAAAAAAGGATGCAAAGCCACCTGGTCCAACGAGGGTCTATCTTCCGGACGGCGTGACATAAGCCACAATGTTAACTTTCTTGCCTCTTCACTCACTGATTCTGGCATCGTGCAAATGCGTCCCATTTTAATACGTTCCTCCAGCTCCCGTGCATCGGCCGTATATCCAAAGGGAAAACAACTTGTCAATAACGCATAAAGAATACATCCCATAGACCAAATATCAGCCTTAAAAGCATCATAAGTGCGGCCAAAAACTTCCGGTGCCACATAAGCAAGAGTTCCTGTAAGTGTATGGGCATACTCATCAATTTCCGCGTGAAAATTACTTTGCTTATGTAATCGACTTAGTCCAAAATCGGATATTTTCAACACATTGTCCTCTGTTAAAAGGAGATTATCCGGTTTTAAGTCTCGATGTGCCACACCATTTTGGTGACAGGCACGAACACCAGCTAGCAGTTGAAAAAATAATCCAGCTACCACTTCCTCCGCAAGGGCACCATCTTGAGAGGAAATAAGGTTACAAACATCTCCTCCAAGAACAGGCTCAAGAATAATGTAGTAGTTATTGGGACTCTCCAAGATTTCCACTAGTTGAACTATATTTCGATGCCTCAGTCTTCTAAGAATCGAAATTTCCACACGAATATCATTCTCCACTCGTTGGTTGTTTTTGGGTATAATTTTCGCCACGAAACACGCACCAGTAGGAATATGTATTACCCGTTTTACCTTGCTGAAAGCACCTGCGCCGACGGTTTCGAACAGTTCGTATTCGCCCACCCTCCCCATAAATGTGCCTTATATGCTTTTTTTTTCCACAGCTGCTACAAGGTCAAAAGAAGCAACAAAGGCAAAAACAAACATATATATATATATATCACTATCTTTTTGTATTCGTTTGATGTAACTATGAAAAACAGAAAGAACAGAAACGAATAAAAAGACTCAATAGTTTTGTCATTAAAAAGTCACTCTGCCTTACGACTCACAACAGTGCAGAAGTATACTGTCAAACACTCTGTGTGTGTGTGCGTGTGTGTGGGTGGGTGGGTGGGTGTCACCGTCCAGGAACAAGAGCAAAAATGAAACGAAACTAACATTCATAACATTTTCCTCCTACTACAGCGAAACTTCATTAACTGTTTGACAGGAGCCACACTCAAACCGCACATTTGTCACGTCCCTCCCAACCTGCAATGCGTTGATGCTACTACATTCTCCACAGCGAACCTGAATTGGTCTTGTGGAGGCAGGAACCGTTTGGGGAGGTTGAACCTCACTCGCCGGTTTCTTGCTTTTGAGTTCGTGACAACAGGTACCACAAACAATGGCATCGAATTTTCCCAAAGGAATTCGATTCAAGCAACGGCACGCAGCGCACAGGACCATCTCTTGTTTACTATTTGACGCATTCCAAGTTTCGTTTGGTGTAGGATCAGGAAGCACAGTAAGGCATTGCTTACACGTATAAGAGCGGCCTGGTAAAATATCAGTAAATACATTGACAAAAGTGCATGCCGGGCAAGCTATGCTTTTCGCCGCTGATGTCTCATTTGGAATACTTCCTGCTGCAGGCTGACTCAACCCAGGGCCGTTTATTTCCTCGTGAAGTTGCCTCGCCAGGGCGGAATCACTCTCTTCCTGTTGCAACATCCGTTGAGGTTCCATGACAATCGCCTTATTCTCAACAAGGGCAGCTACAGACGAAAAAGGCCAAAAAAAAAGAGAAAGCAAGCATACATAAAAGCAGCATTCGTAAAAAATATACATATATATTGGTGATGCTTTCAAAAGAACGTAAAAGCGTCAGTTACACATACACGTACACAATCAAATACATAAAAAAAAGCTGGGGATTACGTAAAAGCACGAACATGCCCACACCATCTTCACAACCGCCAGATCTAAACTTAAAAGGGCACCCAACGCGGCCGCACCCCAAGCGAACCCCCGCCAAAAATAAATAAATACAACACGCAGCGCGGGCGGCGAATAACAATAACAATAATAATAATAAGGGTGAACGCAACGCCGCGGCGGCGGATTTGGGGGTGAAACGAAAGGGGGGATATGAATGAATAAATAAAAAACGCGCCCCATCCGGGCGGGACGTATCCCGGCCCCGCCTTTTTCGCAGGCGCCGGTTTGGCCACGCGCGGGCGCCGCGTCGACCGGGCTCGCAGCTTCCAGGTGCCCGCCGATGTCCTGCTTCGCCGCGCGCGGCGGGGCTGGCCCCGCCCTTCTCTTTTGCATACGTTCTTGCTTGGCTGGCGGTGCCCTGCGCGGGCCCCGTCGCGCGGCGGAAACCCGTGCCGCTGATTTTGTTTTTGCATTCTTGTTTTTATTTTCGCTTCGATTTGTTTATTTTCTACCGTTTTTTTATTTTTGCGTTTATCCTGTTTTGTTGCGCAAAAAAAGACCTTTTTTTTTTTACATCTCTTACAAATTTATCGAACGATTGCTTCCTCCTCCTCTTGTCTGCGTGCGTGTGTGCTTTTTTAGTTTTGCATTCTCCTGCTTTAGATGAATGGCCGAGGACGCGGATACTGCCTACCGACGGGCGGTAGAAGCCATTGAGGTCGCAACTATTCCTCCGGACCCGGATGCCCCGAGCTGCCTTATGTGGCGCTTGAGGCCGAGTGAAGAAGCAGCTATTCTGGTACAGCGTTATTTGAATCCACCTCCGCAGTGGGGAATTAAATTAAGTTTATCTTCCACATTTCTTGGCCCAGAAAGATGTATGAGTCTTGGGAGAAAGCTAATTTTAAATAACACTGTGACGACGTTGGATTTATCAATGTGTGACATGCAGGATGAAGCTGCTGCAGAATTTTTTAATTCCTTAAAAAGAAATCGATGTCTAAAGCATCTCAATGTGGATGGGAATTACATTTCTGATAAAGGTGCATCTGCAGCTGCAGAGTGTGTCCAGAATTTAGAAACTTTGCACATGTCATGTAATATTATACACGATAAAGGGGCAATTGATATTGCCTCTTTTCTACGAAAATCGGCAAAGATCAAAACCCTCAATCTGCGCGCAAATCGTATTACTTTTTACGGCGCTTACAGGCTAATAGCTGCTCTAGAGCCAGTATTGGATCGTGTTTCTCCAGCACTTCGCGAAGCTATATTGCTACAGGAACCACCACCTTTATGCGATTCTGAAGCGAGTTTGAGTGCATCCGCGAAACATTCGGCGTGCCGGACTTTGGATCTAAGCGGAGATGTTAACACGGAAAACAATGTAGAGAAGGCTTCTCAAGGAAAGCGAAACTCCAATGCAAGTACAGAACCCTACAATGAAACGATTCATACTCTTTGGCTTAGGCATAATTGTGATATTCCCGAAGAACTTTTTACAATTTTGGAAACCATTCTTGCAAAACGCTTTCCTCAACCACCTAAGGGAATATCGAAAAAGAAACTTGCTTCTAGGGCAAAAGGAAAATAGTGTTTACTCTGTTTTTATTGCTCTCTTCTTGATCGTTGTCGTTGAGAAATTGAATCCGAAAATTCTAGTTTTTTTTTTCATGTATGAGTATTTTGTTTCCTTTTGAAAATGTTTTGTATAATTTGCTTGCTGAGGTGCATAATATAGTGTGCCGTCTCTCTGCGCTTACATATTTATACATGCTTAATTCTTCTTTTTGTTTAATACTTTTGTTTTGTTTTGTTTTGCAATAGATTTTTCTCTTTGTTTGTAATGTTTCACAAAAAGCACTCAATAAAGGAGCAGGTGGTTGTGGGCAAGAAAGAGTCAAAAAAGCTTAGAGATGGTTCAGCTGCCTTGTTGGGAAACGAGCATTTGGACTCCCTGGAATCCTTCTGGAAGAAGAATGATGCTATTACTCGCATCACATGGGAATTTTCAACTGGGGGCTTAGCTGCCTTTTATGTGGTAAACCGGATTCCGTTGCTGTTCTCTGTTACTTCCTTACCCGGTGTTTTGGATGGAATGTTTCCAAGAAAAGAGTTGTCGGTGACGCCTACATTGTTTTTTCTTTTGCTGTTGAGGAACCACTACAAGAATGAAGATATGGAGATGATCTCTGTGTTTGGTCCAAAGGTTTGGTGTAGGGGTGCGACATCGCAGTATATTCTTTCTGGAGCACATCTTATGATGCCCGGTATCGTGGGTATTGGTGGAGAAAATAATAAAATCTTACAGGTGGGAGAAACAGTTTTCATCTGTTCTATAGGAACACCGTGCCCCTATGCTATTGGTTTATCTACAGAAGGACTTGTAAACGGGGCTACGAGTGGAAAAGGAGTATATGTACTTCACTGTTATAAAGACCTTTTATGGGATTCTTACTTTGCTGCATTTAATGCCTTTTGTGGTTCACTATATCCCGTGCTTCCATCAACATTTCGAGACAAAGAAGTTGTTGAGGTTGCCATGGCGGGAATAAAAACTGTGAATGAGGCTTTGGAAGCAAAAGAAAATCAGGAAACAACAGAAATTGTACTCGATGAAGCATTGAAAGATTCTGAGTCTTCCAAACGAGATATTTTAATCGAAAACACATTGAAAATGCTTGAAGCACAGGATGGTCTTCTTGATTTTGCGCTTTGCGAAACCGTTCGGGCTCTCTCTCAGTCTATGCTTCCTATGCCCCTCACGGAGTTCTCACCCTTACTCACTTCAAATTACCCAAGAATCCCTGGTCTCAAAATGCAAATTGATTTTAAACGAACAACGTATAAAAAGCTTCTCCCGTATTTATTGACGAGAACTGACCTGGTTGTTATTTCTGAGGAAAAAAAGGGAAATCATTTTATAACCCGAATAAACAAATCAAATGAACTACTAAGACAGCATCGAAGAAATTATTCTGAGTTTTTGCAGACTATTCATGAGCCTGCAAAAGAGGAAGAAGCTTTGGAAGCTGAACAGCAAGTATTTCGAGATGGTGCGAAAGGGGAATTTAAGCGTCGTATTCTATCCATTGAAACATTATATTCTCCAAAAAATGGGGGTGCTATGGAATTAATACGTATGCTATGTACAGGATTCTACTCTGCCCATCTAGAGCAGAAATCCTTTGGGAAAAGCCAGCCTCAAACTTCTTCTTTGTTGGCAGATAACGAGGATAACAACGATTTTATTGATGAATTATATTCTCGAAAACATTTATGTGATAACCTCCGTAAGTACGTTAAGGCAAAAGGTCTTTTGAAAACCGAAGTCGACTCGAATGGTCCTCCACTTGTTCTGTTAAAAGACATTCTTTCGCCTATTACTAGCGAATCGAATAAATGGATGCGCATTACTGAGGTTGAAGAACGCGTTTTTGAGAGTATGTTTGCACCTGTACATCAAATTGCGATGGAAACGAAACAAGTTGTTAATGGTGTTGCCACGTCTATATCATTTGTCACAAAGTCTACAAAAAGGGGCAAGTTACCAAAAATTTTAGTTTTTATAGAAAAGCGACAAGGAAACAAAATTGTGACAATTGTGAGAGGGTTAGATGCTTATGGGTTTGATTTGGCATCTGTGGCAGCTCAATGGAAACACCAGTTTTCCACCCTCTGCACCATATATGATCCATCCAAGGAGATGACAAAAGTTAAACAAGGAACCAAGATTCCATTAGAACTTCATCTAGGTGGGGATTGGGTAGCTAAACTTAAGGTTGTCTTGGGAGATGAATTTGGTCTCCCACAGTATACGTTAATTTTTCCTGCGAAGTAATGTTGCACGTTTAGACTCTTCTGCCGGTGCCTCTTTTTGTAGTTATTGTTCTTCTTGTTGTTACCGTGTGTCAAGGACGGGACTGAGATGTTCCTCTCTCTCCCTCTCTTTCCTCTATCCCCTTTCTTCCTGAGGAGAATGCTTGTCACATCTATCAGTGATCTTTTCATGCCCGTGTTACTATTATTATTATTATTGCGACTACTATTTCTATTATTTTCCAATTTTTTTTTTTCCTCTCCTTAGAATTTAAGGTATCCTGAAAATGAAAGCTTTGTTCGCAGTCGCCACTGGATTTGCCTCTTCATGTTGGCATAACCGGGAACAGGTCAACTGTTCTCCTGCAAGGAGTCCATTTTCCACAAAAGAGTTCCGTCCATTTACACTGATGAACTTTTATGATGAATCGTACAATACAAGAGTGTTTCGTTTTGCGCTTCCAGAAGCTGATATGCCCCTAAATCTGGAGGTTTCCTCTTGTATCACGGCGAAGTATACTGGGAGTGATGGAAAAGAAGTTATTCGTCCCTATACTCCAATTAATAAAAGTGACCAACGCGGCTATTTTGAACTTGTTGTGAAACGCTACGATAATTCCAAGATGGGCAACCACCTATTTTCTTTGAAGAAGGGTGACACTGTGGAATTTAAAGGACCCTGGGTAAAGATTCCGATTAAGGCAAACCAATACCGACAAATTGGCATGATTGCAGGGGGGACAGGCATTACCCCAATGTATCAGGTGGCTCGAAACGTCTTGTGTGTGCCTAAGAACACGACAGCTGTCTCTCTCATTTACGCTAATACTCGTAAGGAGGATGTGCTTTTGGGGAATGAACTCAATGAGCTTATGGAAACGTGTCCGCTCTTTTCACCGTACTATGTTCTTGCCAAGGCCCCTTCGGATTGGATGGGAGGCGTTGGATGCGTAAACAAGGAGATGATCAAATCCGTTATGCCACCACCAAGCAGTGCGGCTGATTCCATCATCCTTGTGTGCGGACCTCCCGCTTTTATGGAAGCTGTTTCAGGAGACAAGGATTTTAAGTCCAGTCCACCTTCTCAAGGCGAACTGAAGGGAATGCTTAAGGAACTTGGTTACATGCAGAAAATGGTCTTCAAGTTTTGAGTTGCATATTTACTCTCATAGGAGGCATGATGGTTCAGAAGGTTAAATTGAGTTTGTAAATGTCTTTTTTTTTACTTTTTTTTTTGTTCTTGTTGAAGCAAAGCGTCCTCTCCACCCCACCTTTACAATAGTGACTTTTTTTTTGTTGAAGAGCATATTTCTTCCTTATTGCAAGCGGGCTGAGAAGAAGGCAAATACGTTGGTGTAGTGAGACTGAGGAATAAAACATTTTTATTGGGCAGTATGTGGATGCATTGTTTCTTTTTTGTGCCTCGTTGCTGTTGTTGTTGTTTTGGTGTGTGTGGGTGTGGGTGTCGATTGACTTGTTTGGATGAAACGAAAAGTAAACGCACATGGGGGAAAAAGGAAAAGCAATGAAAGCCTTTTCCGCCACATCTATTTTTTACTTTTACTGCCCAACACCAGCCTTCTTGCCGCCCGGGCAGGTATGCAGACGACAGAGAGACCATTTTCACAGTCTGAGTTTCGTCCGTTCCAGCTTGGGTCCACTGAGGCAGAGTTCCGTGACACGAAACCTTTTACCTTCCTCCTCCCCCAGAAGGACATGCCGTTGTTTCTCGGGATTCCGTCCTGTGTGACTCTTCGCTCCTTTGACACGGAGGGTGAGGAGGTGACCCGGCCTTATACTCCTTTGGATTTGAGCTATGATAAGGGTGCATTTCATATTTCGGTCAAATGTTATCCCAACTCAACAATGGGCACATATTTCACATTTGCATGAAATGAAAGATGCCTACTTTGTTGATTTCAAGGGGACTTGGCAAAGTATGGAGCTTTCGCACAAAAAATATATATACAAACGTGGGACTTGTGATTGGTGGCACTGGTATTGCCCCCGCCCATCAAATCATTCGTAGCCTGTTTGCAGATGCTTCGAGCTCCACAAGTTTCGTCTTGCTGTGTTGTAACAAGACAGAGCAAGACGTTTTGTCGAAGGATTCCCTGGACCAATTGGTGCATGACAACTCGAGAAAGTTTTGCGTATCTCACTTACCGTCGGAGGCACCGGCAAATTCTTCTGGGCACAAGGGGATAATTTCCAGGGATGTTATCCGGGAATCAATGCCAACTCGCGACAAAGATGGCAAGCATATGTTGATTGTGTCTGGGTCTTCCGGTTTTATGAATGCTGTGTGCGGAATGAAGGAAGTTCGCAGCCAGGGAGCCCTACTTGGTTACTTGGAGGACTTGGGCTTCACTGCGGATATGCTTCACAAGTTTTGAGACACCTATGTTGTTCTCTGTGTTAATAATAGGGAAAGGTGGGGGGCTTAGGAGCGTCTAAGATGACGACCACCGGCCCTTGAAAAATGAAAAAAATATATCGCAAAGGTAAGACTACATGCTGTTATGATGAATCAAAAGCAGCACTGGGCATGTACACATATTCTTCATGCAAAAATGAGTTGAGTAAAATGAGTGGCCTCCCCTCGCTTCCTCTCATCTACAATCAAAGAGGAAGACAAACGGAAAAGGAAAAAAAAACAGAGAGTGGGAAAAAAAGAAAGTTTTGTTTCATCATTAATTCCTTACCGCAAGGGAACTGAAAGCCTTGCATCAGAAATCTGGGAGATGGTGAAGGGGGAGAGGAAGTGATATCTGAAGTCTAGCAAAACTAGACATGTGATGGGGCCCAAAATCCGTCATGTCTCTTTTACGCAAAGTTTCGCTGTTCGCAATTTTTATTTTTTTATTTTTGTGCAGCTGCCTTGTTCTTGAGGAGAACGTGCGAATGGAGGTGACGCCATATATATCTATATCTATATATCTATATATATAGATATAATTTATGCTTGAAACGAAGAAAAGTGAATGCAAGACACCTTTAGCGGTCATGCTTGTTCGTTTTGTTTGTCTGTTTGGCTGGCTGATTTCTTTATATGAAGAATCCTTCGTTTTTGTTTTGTTTTTTATCAGCCTCCTATTTATTTCTCGGTTCACCTACTTTTTCTCTTCGCGTT